AAGAGGAAAACAAATTCTGTCCATAACAGGCCTTTGCAGAGTCATGGTCTTACATATACCCTGCTAATGGAGATTTAAAGATTCATGGGATCATGGAGATGGTTTGAAAATGATAAAAACTTCTCAGCACTTCCTCTAAATTTTCCACAAAGTTTCTGGAATATTTGAATCAACTGACTCTAAGTYGGTTCAGTTTTCAGGCAAGGAAAGTTATTTTCTTTTTCCTCACTGGTAGCATTTTTACAAGAAGTGAGGACGAGATTAGGCAGATGGAAGGAAAAAAAGTGTGATGGAATTGTAACATCAAAATCTTTAAAACTGCATTATTGGGTTGAAAAAATGAAGGCATTAGTTGTGTAGCTTCTGCGTCTAAGTTTCAGAATGTTTTAAAAATGCCATTTGAGTTTTTAAAAGTGCTGCGTTTATTCAGAGGCTGCTGAGAATGAAAAGTATTGATAAGCTCTACTAAGCGTTTTCATATGGAATCTATTTTCAGCCACATACCAGAAAATGTCTTTGTTATTTTTTTGAATGAGACCCTAATCTCAGAATGACTTTTCATTTATCAGAGCCTTTTAAGTCTGCTATTGTGTTTCCAGTCAGATCCTTTCCACTCACTTCTTTTTTCCTGTGTCAGCCTCTTACAAACTTGCCACAGGGCAAAGTTCGCAGTTATTTTCCACAGGCACAAGGATTTCCCCTCTCAGGGGTGCACTTGGGCTTTATGCAGTGGCAGCCAAGCACAAATTAATGCCAGCTCCAAGAGTTTGTGATAAAGTTTCTTGTGGTATATCATGCTTAATAGCACACCCTACAATTTGTGATTTCACTTGTTAACAATTCAAAGGCTTTTGTTCCTTATGCTGTTTAGTCAGATGAGATGGCTTAGTGGTTTTTTGCATCACCAGCATTGGCATTTGTGTCCTTGTTGGTGTTCTTGTTTAGTGTTGTGTTGGTTCCCACTTCAGCTATAATTTAATAATGTTCAAGTAATGCTTTCTAGAAAAAAAAAAAGTAAGTTCTGGCATCTGCAGTTGAGAAGTTGCAAAACTTGAGTGCAGTATGCCAAAAAATCCTCCAAAGATATATAATTGACTCCTCTTAAAATTTAATGATTTTTCTGGGGTGTTTTTCTTTTTTTTGAGGGGTTGGGGATTAACAATATTGTAGCACTTAAATTCCTTGAAATATATTTGTTTTAACCTTTTCCGAGGAGTTCAAGTTTGTTTCTGTGTATTTTATAGGCAAGAAACAGCTGTAATTCTCTCTGGGGGTTAGAAAAGGCACAAAACCTGTTTGTTCTCTCCTAATTCACTGTTGCAGATTTTCTGACTCCAGGTATGGAGGAGGATTTGTGTTCCTAGGCCTGATGGGGACTCCCATGGCTCTGCAGTGAGGTTGTGCCAGCTGTCAGCCTGGCTGCCCTCTGGTGAGGGCTTTAGACACAGAAGCTACACAACTAATGCCTTCATTTTTTCAACCCAATCATGCAGTTTTAAAGATTTTGATGTTACTATTCCATCACACTTTTTTTCCTTCCATCTRCCTAATCTTGTCCTTGTAGAGTGTGGAAAGGGGAGCAGCTTTGCAGTACTGATGTAAATGTAAAGAGTGAGAAATGTGCTGGTGTTATTACCAGTCATCCTCTGGAGAGCCCTGAGCATCTCCCTGGACAGGGATCCACTTTCTGCCCTTACCCTGCATAACCTCATTGGCTTCAAAACAAGGTTTAATGTCATTAAAGCAAATTGGCATTAAGGCAAGGGATTTTGTCCAGCAATTCAGGGTGTTTTTAATTGTTTTCCTAAGCACAGGGCATCAGAAGGGTCATTGAGAAATTTGCCCATACCAACTTTTCTTCCCAGCTATGTCAGGTCCAGCTTGTATCACCAACCTTTTCATATGCTGCTTTGCATTCTTCTAAGTGGTAAACACCCTCTGAAACATCCCAGCATCCTTCAGGATATTTTATACTCCCTTTGCTCCATCTCATGCAAGCACAAGGATAATTGCATGGTCTGGTTGTCAACTGGGAACTTGGTCTGCTCTCCTCATATTTACAAGGTTGGTTATAGATTAATAATTCTTTCTGATATTACTGTGAGTAAATTATAACTCAACAGTGGACAAGTGTATATGGCTAGCATTTTGTTTTTTGCATTTTCCCTTTTATGCAACATTTTTATTTTCTGCAATTTAGTGTGAGTACCTAATTCCATGATAGATTGTGTCTGGAATTCCCGAAGGAGTGATTTTGGCTATCCTGCTATTCTTGTCTTTGCTTGCACTTTAGAACTTTGAAATGTCTGCATTTCAAGAAAAGGAAGAAAATTCCCTCCAGTATGGAACTGCTTAGATTTCATTGGTAGAGTTTTAGTGTTTCAGTCAGTGCTTTGTCTCCTGGTAGGTACAGCTCCTCCATAAATGTCTCTCCAAAGTCCTGCAGGATACCTCCTAAAAGAATGTGGAGTCACTATGACTTACAAATCGTTTTAAGTGATTTGTTTATGGGGCAGCCTGGGCTTAGTTCATTCTCCTTGACAAAATGCAAGCAGTTGCTTTGCATCATTGCTCATAAGCTACAGTTAGAATCTCCTTTTGTTTTTGCAGAGAAGGATCTGAACCCTGACCCCAGCAGCGCTTTGAAGTGTTCCCTGACAGACAAAGATGAAGCTGAGCTATCCAAATGTGCTGGGAGGGTCGTGACCCTGCAGTGAACAGGGGCTGATGGTTGAACGGGGCTGGAGTGGGGAGCAGGGTGACTCTGCATGGAAATGGGGCTGCTCTGGAGCCCTGCAGTCACAAACTGCAGCTGAAAGCAGAGGAGAAGCCAGGAGGCTGGGAGGGACAGTGGATCCTTTCCTGGCCTTATTGCAGAGGATCAAGAAAGGTGCTTTAACACGGAAAGGGGTTTTCTCTTTGCATAAATACACATGGATGCCCTGTGTTTCTTGAGCTAACAGAAAATGAGTTGAAGATTTCCACTGCGGTATTTTGATTCCAAGAGAGACGGTGGCCGTGATAAGCAGTAAAGAAACAAGGTGATTGTGATTCCTTCTTCCTGTGAAACCTTCACAGAAGAAAAAGTATGGAAAGGCAAAGAAGAGGTTGTGATAGAGAATATTAATTCAGATCACACAGCAGGTAAGGGTGTTCCCAAAGTTCAAGACATTGTTTTAGGAACATCTCCACAGAAAAAGGAAGTGTGGGATGCCTTGACCAAACAAAATCAATCTTCATGACGTGACACATCTGTGGACATTGAACTTCCTTGCTCTAGCATCTTTGTGACTGCACTCTCCTGTTGCATAGATGTGTTCCAGCCATAAAAGTTGAAGAGATAAACATTTCATCTTTATTGAAGTGTAAGCTGTATGAAAGATGTTGAAAAAAAAAAAAAAAAACTGGAAGGCTTTTTTTTTTCAGAGAGCCAGAATGCATGAGATAATGTCAGGTGTAAAGAAAAATCCTTGTATTTGCAGTGAGAATATTTCAAGTGAAATGTTTCCATCTGAACCCAGGAGAAAGARGAAAGATAACAGCTGATTTCTTGTCAGAGATCAGCTGTCAGAATGAGCAGATAATACTTACTTAATGGTATCCAAAATAGAAATTCTCCAGTTCAATCTGCACAGTCCCTGTAAAAATAACAAAAACAGGAAAAAAAAGGAGTAATTAAAAATTTCAGAGGTACTCAGTGACAAAATGCAAGACGAAATAAAGCTCTGAGAGATTAACTAACACAGAATGAATTTTCTCTCATTATTTCCCTTCCACTCTTCTGCTTCTTCTTTTCATTTTTTCCCTGAAGCATATGCCAGGAATGTTTCCAGCGAATCAGTTCAGACAGGTTGAGCAGATATCCGGGGGAGCAGCCTTTGGTAAATGGTGGGATCACAGAGGTGGAACTGCAATTCCGTGGCCTGGGCTGAACATTCCCTTGTAAGCAAAAGGCTTTGCTTGTTCAGAGCCACAGATGCAGCATGGCAACAGGGATGTGGCATATTGCTGATTTAGGGGCATGTGCCAGGAATTGGGAAGTGCAGATCAAGCCTTCTGAGAGAAAATCAGACCAATTAGAATCTTGTCTCATGTTTTTAATTAACTTCAAACTCAGTCTCTTGTTTCTAGAAAAGGGGCGCCTGTGGGAATGGAGGTACTTGGATACAAAAGCATCTTCCAAACCATTTGGAATTCACTCTGTTGAGAGCGGGTTTTGACTGGGCTTTATTTTCAGCTAAATTTTAAACAAGATGCCAAGCAATACAAATGAATTGAAATTGAAAAGAAAGAGGAAGATCCTGCTGGTTTGTGATAGCTGCATATTGAGCCAGTCAGTCCAGTTACCACAGTATCTGAAGATCTCAGTCTTAAAGCATCACTTCAAAACTTCTACATAACTAACATTTCTTTTAAAGGTTGAAATCAACTTCTTAGAAGCCACCCAGAATGTGAGAACTCATTTCTAAAAAGAGTTTGCATGCTTGTAACAGGTGAAAATATATTGCAATATGCTGGGGTTTTTCTGTGGGTTTTTTTTTTTTTTAATTTATAAAATTTATTTTCCCCAGGCTTACAACTGGCACAAAACCAAATATAAAATTCACCTAATAAGCTGATAAAAAGCAGAACATCATCCATGACACTTCAATCTGCCAGTTCCTGTATTTTTCACCCACTTATGCTGTTCTCAATACATCTTTTTGCCTAGGGAAAAACACAACATTTAAAATGCACTAGGAAAGCCAAAAAAATCTCAATCCTTACCACGCTAAGGTGAAAGTTGCAAGTAAAAGGATCATCTCCCAACACATCCTTTTTTATGTTTATTTTAGTCTAATCTCCTCAGATTTTGTATCTTTTTAGAGCATCTTCATCATCATAGTRTTTGACCATTACCTCCTACAGACCAATATGGAAAGAAATACTCTGCTCTGTGGCTGGTAGGTACTCAGGAACCAAGGGAATCCAAGAGGAATAAACCTGGATGGCTCATGAYGTTTTTAATCCTTGCAAGCATTTGYTTGAGATGCAGCAAGTTGTGMCCTCACTSAGGAAGATCCASAGCTGAACCTGAGAGCTGCTGGATAACAAACAAGCAGAATGCAGGAACCTGTGAGCTCCTCGAAGGCTGGATGGGAACTCAGAGCTGATCTTGGTGCTGTTCTGGGTGGGCACAGGGAGGGCATGGGCAGCTCAGGTGAGCCAAACCCCATTCCCTTGGCTGTTTAATAAGGGAGCACAGGGAGGATCTGTGCTCGCTGCAGGAATGGTGTGGGGCAGCTCCAAGGAGGTTCAGTCCCAGCCCAGAATGAGCTGCAGGGAGCATTGTGTGCTGTAGGACAGTACAGAYCCACGGGAACATCATGGCATGGTTMTTATTCCTTGGTGTTGTTGGCATGCATTCCTGAGGGAATGGATCCGACCCTTTCAATGGGCTCCGTGGGTCTGGGAAAGRAACAGCCCTACCCTGCTGTTGCCTTAATGAAACCTGAAAAAAAGATGGGCTCTCTAGTGCTGTGCTGACAAGTGATACAATATTCTTATTCATCTTTYAATCCTGTTCTTTCAGGTGTCTAATTTGCTGCTTTCCCCATTAACTTTCTCATTTCTTCCTGTGCGGTACATCGGAGGTCACCGTGCCTCTTGTCATAATATTTCCAGTTTATAAAGGGGCAGAGGGAGCACAAAGTAACTACAAGGTAGTTCTGAATCTTTCATCTTCACTTCTAAATCCTGTAATTTCTTCAGAGTACATTCTCTCCTTCTTCCTTASCACCAGAAACAAGAACTTATTTGAATGTCAAACAGGGCTTTAATGAATCCCATAAGATAATCACAGCAGCAGCTGTCCAAGTTAGTTTCTTTWAAAAATTCTGTATGATTTCACTTAYGTGTTAAAGTGCTAACTGGAGAGTTTGCCTTTTTCTCCCTCTCACACATCCATTTGRAAACAGGGATGTTAATGTAGCAGTTAATGCCTTTAAGTGCTTCTTCACCTGAGATAGCAAACAGAGCTCCTCCAATGTGCCAGCTGAGACAGAGCATGAACCATTGAGGAGAGAGGCACTCGAGTAGCTGATRCTGCAGTCATGATATTGTTGATATGAATATTTAGAAATGTCTTGAAATWACCTTAGTTACTGTTTAGCAAAGGCTGGCACCTCKAGAATGGTGATTACTCAATAATTTTATGCTTTCCTAACTTGGCTGAACAAGGCCTAAAGGGGTTATTACCCTTCTCTGAGGAAGCACTGAGCACATGCAGGGTTTTTCCTCTGCTCTACCCTTTAAAAATCTCTCCTACAAAGAAGGGCAGGTGACAGTAAATTGAAGTTTTGTTGACTCTTCTTCTAACATCTGGGTGTCTTGTGCCTCGCTAGCAGCTGCTTATGGCTTCCTTTGAGCRCAGAAGCCTGAGGGTATTCTAAATTTAAATCCCTCTATTCACACATAGATCCCAGCCCCGAAATGAGGATGTACAGCCAACATGCAGGCAGCTCCCTGATGTAGGAGTCCTCTCCCAACATCTCTGTCTGGTTCCCAAGTGCCAGCTCCTCAAGCAGAGCTGCTTTAACAAGCACMAGGCAGACAGCCAGTTTGCAGGCTGTGCTCATTGCCTCCCCTGCTCCTCAGCCTGCCAGGGTACAAAGTCCTTGCATAACCCAAGCGCTGAGCAGTGAGATAGCAGGTCCTCTAAGAGATGAAAACCTGCCTGCACACCATGAAAGTAACGTTAGAGACTTTGTGGTGATGCTCCCCATGACAAATGCCTGCTTGGCTGGGAAGAGGAAAGGCAACTGCAAAGCTTCAGCATTTCTACACTTGGGCTCTTATCCTATTTATTTGTTTCTGCAAAATAAGTAGGAACCCGCTTTCTCATAATGCACTGATGCTGTTACAATTTATCTTTAAACGTTTCTCAGTGTGTTTAGTGACAGGTTTGTTCCCAAGCATTTTCATTCCCAGCCTGATCAGTTACGCAAATGGGGACATTTTTTCTTCATGGAGACATTTTGTACTTTATTTTTGCTTCCATCAGTTACTGAGGCTTCATCCTGATGTCTCATGGGGCATCTCTCAAGAGTACTGTGTTTCACACATGCTTTCCTCAGAAAAAACGAAGAATTTAGGTGTTTTCTGGCCATCTCTAGTTCTGCTTCACCTTTTCCCTTCAATTGTTTCAGATTTGCAAATAAGATGCCWCTAGTACCTTAGGAAGGCTGCAGTCACTTCCAGCCTGTTCTCTGGCCTGCAGACTGATGCAAATTGGCACATTGAAAGCCCAGGCAGACAGCAGCTGTGTAATCCAGTGGCATTTCCTTGGAAAATCTTCTGTGCAGAAGAGGAGCTTGAAAGGAAGTAACAGTTTGGGGAGAAATCCAACTGCAGCCCCAGAGGCAGTGCTGCACTGAGCAGTAAATCTYCTTGTCTGTGTCTACAGGAAGAATGAGGCACTGGTGGCTGGCTGTGTCTGCAGCCAGGGAGGAGCCTGCACTCACTGCCCCACKCTGTATCACAAACCATTCCCTGGCACTGCATGCTCCAGCTTTTCCTTCCCACAGAAACCAGTGGAGGATGGGAGAGGTGCTGTGTACCTTATTTCAACCTGACATGGCTTTAGGACATGAGCAGAAAACAATACCAGAGCCAGACACAGCTTTGCTTTTTTCTTTTTTGTTTTTTAAAGCTTGCTAGGTATCCAATAGTTTCAGGCAAGTCAGACAGTGTCTGAAGTGAAAAACAAGCTCAAAAAATCTGGAAGCATCTAATTCATGCAGAAAAATACCTACTAAAGCGGGGGAAAGCAGAGACCTAAAGCTATTGAGTGCTGTAAAGTCACAGACAGCTCCATAGCTTGAAGGCAGCAGTGCCTCCCATCTCATTCCATCACAATCTGTCACTCGGCTTTGGAAAAGGCTCTTTGGAAAAGGCAGCGTGAGCAACAGGCRTTCAGGAGCAGAGAATCGGCATCTCCTGTGCCTGCACAGCACTGTTGGGAGGGGGATTTCATTCCTCAGGTCCCACTGCGGGCTTTTGCTATTCCTTTTTAGTAAAAATACATCTGCTTCCAAATTTCCCATTGAAACAATGTTTTTGATCAAAAATGCAGTTTCTGCCACACGAGCAGCTCTAATGCACT